GGAATGCATAACAACTGTGCTCTACTACATACAGAACTGTGTTCACAGTGTCACTGTCTACAAACACATTTGGATGTACCCCAGTTAAAAGTCCTGGATGACAAAGGAAATCAAATCTCTTCTCAAGGACTGTTACACCACCTTCAGGTCTGGTAAAGCAACCTATAGGAGGATAACTGAGGACCACTTTAATGACAATGATCCCTGGAACCTCACGATTCCTAATGGTGGCGTCTCACTGGCGGAGGAACTTAATGGCATCTTTACCTGCTTTCATGTGAAAACAGCAGACAGAGATACCACAACTTCACCAGCCTCAGACAGCCACAGCCCTACTGGGCAGGAGCACAAGGTGAGGTGTGTGTTCAGAGCAGTAATCTGAGGAAAGCTGCTGGCCCTGATGGTGTGACAGGAGGGGTATTAAAAGAATGTGCAGATCAATTTTTTACAGTCTTCACAAAAATCTTCACCCTGTCCCTGTCCACATCTATCATTCCACCCTTAAATCTTTAACAATTGTCCCACACCCTAAAAAGTCAGCCCCCAGTGGGCTGAATGACGAATGTCCAGTAGCTGTCACACTACTAACATTGTAGGAAAATGTACTTAGAGTATGAAATCTAAGAGTACTTATTAGTATATCATATATTATTATAATTGGCATTATTTGATCTCAATAGTGAAGATATCAATGGCAGAAATGTTGTTAACCCTTTTAAGTGCCAGTTTACATTATGCCATTGTTGGTCTGTATGAAGAAAAGAGGCAAAAAAAGAAGGATTTTTTATTTTTATTTTTTTTTTGATAATCACCATATTTGATGTATCAATGACTAGCACCAAAATTGATTCTGATGCATTATTATTTTATATGCATTATCAGATTCAAATTTTAAATCATCACACTTGGGGCATTTAATGACCTCATCAAAAAAAATGCCAATTACAAAATATTATTTTCTACTTTTAATGACTAATTCATTTTAATCATTATTAGTCCTGAAACAACAAATAAAATATTTGTTCATTTTCACGATTTAAACCTTTTAAATGCCACTTTGTTTACATGAAACTATTGTTGTTCTATATGAAAAAAAGACAAAAAATTAAATTTTCTATTTAAGTGGTAAATGGGAAATACTTTTTGTTTGGATGTCTTGGATGTGTCAATGATTAGCATCAACATTGATTCTGATGCATCATAATTTTTATGCATTATCAGATTTTTGATAAAAAGTCACTCAAATTGTATGCCAAATGCATTAAAACAGCCACAATGATTTAAAATGAAAAGGACAAAACTTAATCAGGTGAGTCTCTTTAACCCTGGCTCTGCTGAGTGATGGATCATGTGTCACTAACTTTGTACAGCTTTGGATTTTGGTATTGAATGACACCAGTCTGTAATACTGTAAATGCTAGAAACATGCAAATAATAGTTGCTTCATTCCTTGTTTTCTGTTTGGTCTTATTTGTTTGTCCGTGTGTGAGGTCATTATGGTTCATTATATTACTCCAAGTAATTGTGCTTTTGAGACACAATAAGTCTTATTATCCTTTAAAGTCACTAAGTCAACTTTGAACTGTTTCATCTCTTTCATCACAGTCTCTGCTCTGCCAGAGACACTCTCACACTGCCATGGTAGCTGACCCCTTTGTGTATTTGAATGAGTGCAAACAGGCTTTTGTGTGTTTGTCATAGTCAACAACCTTTAATGCATGTCTCTACCCTGTTTTTGTTGGAGGTCTGCAGTGGGTGAGGGTGGGGAGCTGCCTATAGAAAAATAAGTGAAGAGTTCATTTGCAAAATCCATTTTTGTAGATTTTCAGAAAACTTGTTTTTTGTTGTTGTTTGCTTGAGATAATATCAATCCAACTGAAGTTAAGTGGATTTGACTCAGTAGAAATGACATGACAACAATACAGATAACTTAAGTTTGATTGATATTGTCTCAGGTAGATGATGGAAAAGTGGATTTTCTGAAGGTTTGTGAAGATGGAATTATTTGTTTTTGCAAATGAAGTGTACCACCATGAAAAATTTGGAGACGTCTACTTTTTAGAAGTAGTATGTGCTGTGTGAGACAGTAGGCAGCTGGAATTAATGCAAAAATAGCTGAATACATACAAGGGGTTAAGGAAGAGAAGTCTGTGTATAAACTGTTATTTTTTATAGATACAATAATATGAGCTCCAGCATAGTCATTTTAGCCCATTAATGTAAGACAACGAGGTTTTATTGAAATGTACTCCCCACTTCATATAAATAAGCCTTCTTTACTCTATACATTGCAATAAATATGAAGCAATTTATTTTGCTTCAAAGTCATTCCTCACATGATTTATTTTAGGCAGGAGACCAGATGACTTCTTGGCTTGATAACTCACAAACATAGCTATGCAGCTGCCTGCTGAGTTGCAGAGTTTTTGCAGCCAAGAATCAAGTGGGTAATTGTGAAAAACAAACTTCAAAGTGACTGTATGCCAAAGTTCACCGACAGTACATTAACACCCATTTTTTCTTTTCTGTCTCTTTTGTCTGACTTAACAAATTGCACTGCGCATCACTGGGACTGAATTCATTACAAGGTGGGGCTGAACTTACTTAGGGAGTCAATATGATGTCTGCTGAGAGCTAAAGATGCACTGTGTAGATGCCAAATCTAGTAAATGAATCCACCTGAGCTCATGCAGTGACACCAAAAGTTATGGTATCATGACGAAGTAAGGTTTTATCCTTGCAACTTCAAAGCAGTCCTTAAAAGGTTTGGTGTGAAGGTGTCAAGGTGAACAGCACATTGGAAGAAGGCAGGTAGGGAAGTCGGCAAGTTGGATCCGTGACTTCGGGACAAGGATTGTCTCTCTCTTTCTATCATTGTTAAGGGCTGTACTAGGAAGTGAGATTAGTGGGTTATCAAAGTATCAAAGTTAAGGCTAAGGTCAGAGTTTTCAGTGTCACGAAGGTGTCTCTCTTTTTGCCTGGCTAGATCTCTATGGTAACTGATGCTGTGGAGCTAACCTGGTTGGGAGCAGGTTATGTTCATCAATCCATCCATTATCTATACATCGCCCAATCCTCACTAGGGTCGCGGGGGGGCTGGAGCCTATCCCAACCGACTTAGGGCGAAGGCAGGGGACACCCTGGACAGGTCGCCAGTCTATCACAGGGCCACACTTAGAGACAGACAACCAAGCACACTCACATTCACGCCTACGGACAATTTAGAATCACCAATTAACCTCAGCATGTTTTTGGACTGTGTGGGAGGAAGCCGGAGAACCCGGGGAGAACATGCAAACTCCACGCAGAAAGATTCCGGTGCCCCCACCGGGACGCGAACCGGCAACCTTCTTGCTGCGAGGCAACAGTGCTACCAACTGCGCCACCCTGCAGCCCCAGGTTATGTTTAGAGTTTCAGATTTAAATTGGCTAGGAGGAGCATCTCCCTTTAACCAAATTGTTTCCTTACGATTCTCTATGAGTGATAGAGATTCTTAGCTGATGGAATATGTTTTATTGTTTATTTATTAGTGATGCAAAAATCATAAATGATTTGCTGTCAAGTCTGTTTACACTGCTGGTACTGTGGCTGATAGAAAAACATTAGAAAATGGATTATTCTGCTGGTATTTATTACAGACAATATTCAATCAATAACATTAATTTTGCGTTGATTTGGTCAATAACTAAATTGATATCCTGTATTATAGGACAGTGTCACATCTAAATGCACTTCAACACAATATCACGTTTAAACATATAAAGTTTGAAGTTTAACAGCTTTAGTGTGCATTTGTCAGCTAGAAATAAAAGGCTGCATCAGTAAAAGAAATATATTATGCATATTTAACAGTTTTCTACCAGCATTCCTGTCTTGTATCCTTTGCAGTAGCAGCACTTTTTACCATCATAAATTTTTATATTCTTAATTTTTTACTATCAAAACGTGCTAATTGAACACGATCATTTCATTTTGTGCAGAAGAAAAGTCATACGATGTGTTAAACGCCACCATCTATGTGAACATGCACAGAGTTTGAAGTAGAAAGCTTGAGTTAACAAAGTAAATTGATAACCACCTTTGTAATGCTCATAATCTGTGACTAAGGGTTTAGTTTTTGTCGAGCCAGTTTACACAAAGAAAGCCTGGCTATGTCAACCTTGCTTCATAGTATATTCCTATGTACTGTGCATAGGTTAGCTATGCTATAAATAAAAATGTTTGTTATGAAGACTATAAAGGAATTTAATAAACGGGAATCCAAATCGATATCCAACCAAATTCAAAAGATCTCACTTTCTGTTTCTGAGTTATTCCACTGAAAAAAGGCCAGAAAAGTGTTTTGCAGAGCATTATCATGTACACTGAAGTTGGCCTTCGATTTTCTGAATATTAAATGTCACTACTTAATATGTTATCCTTTTAGACATTTTTTTGTGGGATTTTGTAATAATTACTGTTTGAATGCTTGAGATATGGCCAAAAACTATTTTCGTGAGGTTGCAATGACCAACTACAACTACAGTCTAATCAGTTCATTGTTGAGTCTAAGTGAACATTTTTGCCAAATTTGAAGGAATTCTTATCAGGTGTTCACACTTACAAAGCATTAAAAAAAAAAAAAGGCTTCACATTGAAGGGTAAATTTAAATCTCTTAATCTCCTGCTTTAAAAAATCTTGTGTGAATAGTTGGCAGTGTTGGTCTTAAAGTGAGTCCACCACTTGGATCCAAACTGAAATATATGATCCATTTACTTTTCCTCAAACATCATTATCAGAACAACATTTAAATTTTTACAATATTAAACTACATGATTATCTGCAACCATGACATTCCCACCAGCAGTATTTTTTGTCAGCAAATGTTAGAGTGCTAACACACTAAATTAAGATGCCAAAGGCAGTAGAAGTTGAGCATGCACATGTCGTTGTTAACTGTAGTATTGGCATTCATCGCAGGATGGAAATTGTTGGAAAGTAATAAAAACACAAAACAAAGGAGGTTTAACTTCATTAGTTTCTTATATCCATATGAAAATAGCATTATGTGGCAAAGTTATCACAAACGTTCTTTTCTTTCAACATGTCTTCTAACAAAAGATAAAAATATGTGATAGTTGTAAGTTGGCATAAAGAACAAACAAGTAAATGTTCTTTGATAACTTAAGATGTTTGGCTGATTATAGATCATTGGGAAGACAGAATAGCATCAGCAGCGGTTTTGTCACATGTTCACAAAAACATCTGCATTTGTCTTTATGTGATTGTAAGTGACTAAATATTTAGTAGCTTGTTTTGACCCTTATAGTTTCTTGCAATCAAAAATTCTGTGCTTTGGACAACTAAAACAAACAGTAGGAATGCTAATAGAAAATAGGTGTATGAGTTCAAAAGGAATTTAACTGATTCTACGAAACCATAATTGGTGAAAGGGAAACATTGCTATTAAACAAAAAAGACAGAGAATCAGATATGATATTTAGATATAGGGCAGAAGTGTAGATGTGTATACCAATACAAACTACACAACACACTTAGGCATACAAAGCAATCACTTGTACACACAATTTTTTGACAAAGAGGTTGAATAGTGCATGACACTGAGAGGTTTTGACTTTCTTTTACAACTTGTTTTTCTTTCTCCTTTAATCACACAGCCATCCTAATAGTTTGAATAGGTTGTGCATGCTTAGCAACATCTTATTTGTATAGAGTTTAACCACATTTGAGATAAGAGATAAATAAATAACAAGCATGACACAGTCAGGTCAGTGGTCTTTTTTGTTGTTGTTGTTGTTTCACCTGTAAAGAGATTTTAAACAGAGAAACACCAATAATGCAACATTGTGTTTTTGTTCTTCAATCGCATTTGTCGAATTCCGGTGGTAAATAGAGCGAGTTAAATAGAACTACATAGAGTCGTATGACTTATTACCATATTAAAGAGCAAATAAATGATATCACACATGGAAAGTCTATCATTGGTGGGTTTTTTTAGCAATAAACTTTAAACCCCATATAGACTTGGTTCTGTCAACATCCAAGTGCAGTTTTTTCTCTGCCAATATCAAAACAAGGTTCCAAGTAGAGTTTAAAAATTGCACTTTTTTTCACAGTTATGAAGGGGTGCTTTTAAGCCCCCCAAAGGCACTGTGCTTGCACACGATTTTTCACTCTAGCCAATTGTTACTTTATACCATCAACTGCCATAGGGGCAAGTGTTTTCTTGAAAAATTCCATTTTCTTCTTTCCTCTGCTCCTTACATCATCCATACGTGGCTACAGATTCACCAGATAGTCATTATTAGTGTTACTGAGATCTCACAAGACAAGCAGGTTACTGACAAATGAGTAATACTTGTATGACGGGAATCATTCGACTTCACCTCTGGATTATCCACAAAATGCACAATGCTCATTTTGCATCTGAGGGGGAAATATAGAAAGACATTCTTAAAACGTAATAATTATACCACTTTTTTCCCACAATTTACTGAACATGGATTGGTTTATACGAGGGTATTTCAAAGTTCTTGGCCTTACCTGGAAACAAGAGGCGTAACTCCTACTTTGGGGCATAACTGTATACTATAAAGCCTTATATTACAGTCCTAAAAAAATCAAATGTTTAAAGCAATCAAAGAAAAAGCGAGTGGAACTCCAGTGTTTGCAGTGAGTTTGCAGTGAGTTCCATTGTTTACGTTTGTTTACATGCTGTTGCTCCAGAGGAATGCGGTAGGGCACATTGTCCTGGGGCAATAGCACACCAGCTTGAGGCTGCCTCTCTTTTCAAAGAAATGGTGAAAACATATGAGTTTTTGTGGACAGGGAAATTATACAGATATGCTCCAAAACTGGAGTTACAGCCCTCATTTCCAGGTGAGGCCAAGACCGTTTGAAGTACCCTCATTAATTGATTTTATTTTATTATTGTCCCAATATTCTGTGAACTCACCTGGGTTCATTTTAGTTCTACATTAGCATTGCTCTCATTCCTGATTTGCTGATCCGTTTGCGATTCTTCCTCATCCTTCTCCTTGTTTGGTTTGAGCGTGGCAGGAGTTTGGGGCTTACTGGAGCTAGTGGTTGCCGTGTAGTAGTTGTAGATGTTGTTGCCTCTGTCAGAGTAGAATTTACATATTGCAGGAAAATAAATAAATAAATAAATAAATAAATAAAGAGAGAGAGAGAGAGAAAAGAAAATCAACCAAAATCTATTGCTTCATTTTTGACTGTGAGAATACTCATAATTGCACCATGTCATTTTAATCTGGAAAGTCACTCAAAGATTTTGTTCTTTATTTTAATCCAAAGTAATTGGGTTTGTCAATGCATAAACATTGAAGCATCCTTATTACAATTCTTCGGGTTTATTCTTATAGATTCTTTCAACATGATTTTCCCGTAGCTCATTCTGCAGCTTTGGGAAAAACCCATACAACTTATATATCAAAGCATGCAGCTCGATCAGGAATGGTGTGCTATGACTTTTGGTAGCAATTTTTCCTGCAGTTTTTACAAAAAAAAATGTTAAAAACCGTGAAAAATTTCTATTCAGATGAATGGGAAGTTTGATGGACAGCTGCCAAAACCCAGCTATCTTTGAAACCGTGTAGCTCTGGTATATTTTGCAATAGAAGCTTCATTCAACGTTTACACAAGTCACAAGCCTTTTGATATCCTTTATGGTTTTAATGCAGTTTCAGTTTAAGTTTTATGAATTTTTTGAAAATCCAGAATGTTCCTTCAGTTAGACTGGGGGACACATCACATGTGACATCACCTACTTTAAATTTTGAGCTGTGACCTTTTTTCAAGGGGCTAGTTATTAGTCTGCCTGTCTGCCTCTCTTTCTGTGCCCAAACTCTGTGTTGGCTCACAGGTGATTGACTCATTGATACTGGACTCAGAAGGAATTCCAAACATGGCTGCCTCCATCAGCAATATATATTAATATTGTGTGTTCAATCAGCAGGACACATGTAACAGCAGCTCAGAGGGAAACCAACACAGTTGTTACTACTGATAATAACAAAGCCTTGCTACATGTTTCAGACCCATATCCATAAGTCGTAGTCAGCTCAGTGGCCTTCCATGTCTGTTGGATTAAACTCATAAATAAGCGTCTCTTTCAGGGAACAATGGTTTAAGAATGTATAGTAGCTGCATGTTGTTGTTTTTTTTTTTTCTTTCAAAAGGAATAAATACTACATGGTGATGCAGTGGTTAGCACTGCTCCCTAACAGCTTGAAGGTCCTTAGTTTGTCAATTCTATACCACACACAGAATTCCATGAATTATGTTATACTTACGTATAAACATTAAAAGGAACTGATTACGGTTTGTATTATTATAGCTTTTCAAAATAAAATATACTTATATAAATTATACCGTATGTATGATTATAGCAGGAGACATCAACCAGCAGATGCTGCATTGGCATACTCAAAATTTCTTTAGAAATTTTCTACTAAATATTACTGTTACCTGGTTTCTTCGTTGTTGTTTGCAGATGGTGATGATGTTTATCATGCAGATGTTGTTGACTGTCAGTCTCCTTATCTTTCAGCCTTTCTTCCTCTTCTCGTTTGATTTGCTGTAGTCTCACAATCTCCTTCTCTTGGTCTATCCTCTTGTGAAAAAGTGGAAGCTCCTTTTGCTCATCCAGTTTTATCCCCTCAATTTGTACCATCCTCTCCTCTGGACTCTCATTCTCTCTCCGTCTCGTCTGTTCACTAGGCTCTGGATTTGGCTCTTTGGTAGGTTGGAACCGATTCCTTAATCTTTCAGTAGTGGTTTCTTCAGTAGGACTTAACTTGACTTGAGGATTTTGAATATCACGCTGAAAGTAACCATTTGTATGGCTCTTTGAAAAGTTTGATTTGCTTTCTGACCATAATAGGTTGTGTGTTTGTCTATACTCTTTAGCTTTCATTTCTGTATTGTTGAGCAGCAACCCCTCCCCATCTTCAATCAACTTGTTCTTTACCTGAATACCAACATTATTAGTTTTTCTGCCATCTGACACCCTACCATCCTTTCGATCTACATTTTCCTGTATCTCTGTTTGATCTTTAGTCTCAACAAGCCTGGTGGATTTATGAGGCCAGTGTGGAGCAAGGAAAATAGCCTCTCCAGACCAAGATGTGTCCTCCCCTACTAGACTGTACCCTTCTCCAGGCTGAGTTAAAATGTCTCCTCTGGGGCTCCACTGCTGCTGCAGGAGGTCCTCCAGGTGGGCTCTGTGGTTTTGTTTCAGTTCATCCCACTGATGGAGTTCATCCTTCGAGTGTACCTTCACCTTGTAAAATGAAACAAAGCTAAGTTCAGCTTAATTGGTTGGTCAGTTCCATCTTTTTATCATCAGAAAACACTAATCCTACAAGTGCATCCTATATCCTATAAATGCATTCAGTGTGCAGGCCAGAAAACAAGAGGGTATTTTTAAGTAAACATTCTATATTTTTTGCACAAGAAATCATTTATATGACAAAAATAGTAATTTTCTGTGTATTTACTGTCTGTTGTTAAATGGCCTGAACCTATATGTACAAATCAATCCAATGTATTATTACTTACACCAAACAACAATTTAGGACTCTAGATACAATAATTTATTGCCATGCCAACCTAATGGTCGATAGGAATTTCAGTGCAATATACAAAAAAGCAAACATATTACATACTGCAAACAAGAACTGTATAATCACATAATACAGATATGACAGAACCATAAATAACACACTATTACAATTACAACCCAAATACAAATTAGTGTACCTACATGGCCCATGCCCTGAAAGGTTAAGCAAGCCATTCTAATCCAAGAAGCTTTCTGTCAAAATCAGCAAATATATCCTCAGTGTCAGATAGTCTGTTAGTTTTTACTCAGCCTTGGCTTTGTGAATGGGGAATAATTTTTTTGGACTCAGACCAATCTATAAACCACTATTCCAGGCTACCAAAAACATGGACAGTACATATTTGTGCATAGGCATAGACTGCATGCAATTGACAGCCGCTTGAATATCTATATATTTTCCAGATGTATGGCTATTCTGGGCACCCAGTAGCTTTACTGGTTGAGCGGGCAACCCATAAACCCATAATGACTCCATCAGTTCCCGACACAACAGCCATGGGTTTGAGTCGGACCCACAGCCATTTGCTGTATGTTCTTCCCACACTCTTCTCCCTACACTTCCTGTCTGTTTCTCCACTGTCATCTATAAAAAAGGCTAAAAAAAAAAAGGCACAAAAATTACTTTAAAAAAAAACAAAAAAACGTTTCCTTTCTATAATGTTCATGAAGGAAAATGCTGAAAGAGAAACTGGTTTCAGCACCACTGAGCCCAGCATCTTTGCTGACCAGACTTCCATCCTATGCTGGTATGAGGAGCAGATTGTGCCCTGGACTGCTTGATTAATTGTTCATCAGTTATTTATCATTAATAATTGAATTGGTTGAAAAAAAAAAAAACATTAACAGTAAAGAAAAAAGTAAAAGGACACTTTTGTCAAAAAACTGTATAGTATAATCGCTAATACCTAGAATTCTGCATTTCTCAAAAAGTGTAACTGCTGCAAGACTGAAACTTGGTTGACAGCTGTCCTATGGGGAATTGCTTCACATACTAAAAATGGTAGCAATAGCATTGCCTAATATCTTAAGAACCATAACAGTTATAGGAAAACATCTGGTTTCTGTGGGTTCAGTGTATGATACTGATTGATATAGGCCACGCCCATTTGCGTTATAGACATATTTCCACGATTAAGAATTTTTTTGGTAGACACTTTTGACTCCCTATCCGACATGTTTCATTAAATCTTCACCGTATTCGTAGGAGTGTTGAGTTTCTTGCAGTTTTGTCACTAGAGAGTGCTATGGTAAATAAAAGATTATTGCACAATACAAAGCGTTGCACAGTGGCTAGCACTGCCACCTCACAGCTATAAGATCCCCGGTTAGGACGCCTGGGGTCTTTTCTGTGTGGAGTTTGGATGTTCCCCCTGTGCAGCGTGGGTTCTCATCGGGTACTCCGTGCTTTCTCCCACAGTTCAAAACATGCTATGGTGAATCGATAATTCAGAATTTTCCGAAGGTGTGAATGTGAGTGTATTTGTCTCTCTGTGTAGCCCTGTGACAGACTGGCGACCTGTCCAGGGTGTCCCCTGCCTTCACCCTGAGTCAGCTGGGATAGACTCCAGCCCCCTGCGACCCTGGTGGGGATTAAGCAGTGTATAGAAAATGGATGGAAACACAATATAAATCAGTACCATACCCATACACTAAGGGCTACAACCTTTTAAACCATCTAGTTCATTTCAGTTTGCAAATACAGTTGTGATTTGACATTCCAATCCTTAACAGTCCAATAACCTTGCTATCCAACAGGTTTTTAGGAAAAAATAACAGAACCCATTAAAAACAGCCTTAACATACTGACAGCCTTGGATTCCAACTCTGACATGACATTTAATGCCACAAATAAGGATTACGGTGTATTATTTGATTTAAAAATCCAACAAATTGGCTACATTCAGACTGCAGGACTTAATGCTCAATTCTGATTTTTTTGTGAAATCAGATTTTTTTTTTTGAGGGTTCGTTCACATTTCCAATGAAATGCGGCTTGTATGTGATCTGCTGTGTGAACTTCATGCGACCCAAAAGTGTCCTGCATGCGCAGAAGAGGACACAATGACGTCACACGCAGCGTGCTCAGTATTTGCGGAAGTAAACACGGATGGTAACGGTGGCACGTATCTGCCACTCCCCCACCGCCACCACCGCCACCAATGGTGGAAACAGAACTGTGACCACTATCCTCAACTGGCATCAGCAGCCAAGTACTGCCGTGCGTTCCAGCCACTTTCACCCCTTCGGAGCATACCCCCAGGGTGGAAGAGGTAAAGGAAAGGTTGCAAGGGCTCCATCAGAAATGTGTAAGAGAGGAGCAAGCCTGCACGTGAGCTGTCCGTTCAATTGCAACGTGCGATCGCAATGGAAATTGCACTCACTTCTAGAGTTTGTTTTGCCACCTGCGTACATGGCACACTCACTACTTATGAAGAGAATGGAACGCACGGAGAAAATCAGTCACACTTGCCTCACACACTCGTGATGATGTACTGACGGTGTACGTCAGTTTGGTGTGATGTTCAAAAAACAAAACAAAAGAAAAACAAAAAACAAAAGAGACATGCAGTCGTGCCAGGTAGCGCTGTGCTGTCTTGAGTCCTGACCTGTACATCTCTATAAATGCTTTTGAAATAACATAGTCAAAGACAAAATGATTTCTTTTTTTAATGTTTGTTTTGTTTAATTAGATTAATTCAGTTTAATAATCTGACTTTGTTACGCTAGTGCTCTTGTCTCTAATCTTTTCACATAGATTTGTAGAAAATCCTGCCGCTGCTTCAGACATTAAAATGAACTCTTTTGCAAAGGTAGATTTACTTAAAGTAACACAAAACTGATTATAATATGACATATCCATTATTTGTTTAAAGCAACAATGTAATCGACGATCACTGGCGAAACGTGAGCGTGCACTGTGAGTGCGCCTTTTATACTCCTGGTGTGGGCCATGCGTTCGATTTTGTTCATGAGTTGTGAGTGTGTGCTCCATGCTTTACACACAAGAGGCACTTGCTCCCCCATTGCGTGCGACGAGCGTCTTAGACCACAGATTTTCTTCCCACGGTGCCTTAAAAATGTGCAAGTCTCACTTGCAAACTCCTTGCAGGGGGACCAAGTTACACCTGCTGCATCGCTGTTCGCAGAGAATTTGTAAAAATCTTTTTGACATGTCAAAGATCCTTCCTACGTTGGTATGGGCTGACTGCGACCTCGAAAGACGGACTTGCGTGGCACATACCATTTTGCACATATTTTGGAGGCAGACAGGCCGTAGGAGCCCGTGTGACCGGTTGTGACCAAGGCCTAATATACAAACATTGAACACCTACAGCCTCTTTTCAAAAAGATTGAATGGCATTACAAGAGAGGCATTGTTTAGCATTTTTCAGAATTTTTAACAACCTTTTTCTTTTTTAACTCTTATGACCAATAGCCTTACTCCAATTTATAATGCCATTATGTGGTATTCTTTTAACTTTGAAATTGCTTATTATATATAATATATTGTTAATTGTGCTATAAAACAAACTCAAGATGCCCATTTTCTTCTTTGTCGTTTTTTTTTTTTTAAACTACTTCCTCCCACAGTCCAAGTCCAGTCCACAGTCTTACCTCAACATGTTTGTTGAGGTTAACTGGTGTTTCTAAAATTGTCCATAGGTGTGAATGTGAGTGTGCTTGTTTGCCTCTATGTGTAGCCCTGTGATAGACTGGTGACCTGTCCAGGGTGTGCCCTGCCTTCGCCCTGAGTGGGATGGATAGTGCCCCATGACCCTAGTGAGGATTAAGCGGTGTACAGATAATGCATAAATGGATAAATGGAAATGGTTTTTCAAATAAATGTCATAATTAATAATTAATGCCTTTTCAGCATAAAACAACGTTAAGTTTTGTCTTGCCACTATGTTAGGTCAGAATATTTTTTCATGCTTGAGGTGTGCAGTACATGCAGCTCTAATTTACACATAAGGCATGCACTTCTTGGTGAGATTAAAGCATTTACACAGATAGCAGATAGTATACGCAATATCATTTGTACCTGTCCCTGTACATGTCCTTGGATGAGTGTCTCATTTCGATGCAGGTGGCTGTGCTGCTTGCGAGGGGATTTTTTTTTTTGTCCTGGGGGACGTGGAGCGGGCTGACATCTGCACTCCACGTGATCCACAAATGACACAACTGCTTTAGCATAAGTTGGTCTTTTGTTGATGTACTCAATCTTCATGACCTGGAGATTTTGAGAAGAGGATGGTAGTCACAAGGAACAATTCTGAGCATATCACAAACACAGTGTGCCATTAGACATCAGTGTACTGTATATATCTGTGTGTGTGCAGGTGGTTACCTGTAAGTATCTGGTGTGTGTGACAATGGGGAGACACTGCAAGCTTTTGGTGTTGCAGCAGCCAGAGCAGCGCTGCACTTCAACACAGGGTGGCCATAACAAGAAGTTAGCATTGCTGCGGTCCAGCATTGCCCTGGTGACCTCAACCACCTCTGTGCGTACTTTACACAGAGCCTGCTGGGCTGGCTGGGCCTCTGAGGGATGGGATATGACTGAGTATGAGTGCTAATGGTAGTGTTGGTTTTAGCATTAGAACTAGTATTAGTATTCAAAACAAACACAGTTCTAAAAACAATTCTATTAAGACCCCTAATCATTGGCTGTAGAAAACCACTTAACAAACAATCACTTAACTTATGTTAAGCCATAAGCAAATGACGATTAAAACCATGATTACATACAGAAATCGAAACTTGTCCAACATGCTATGTCACTAAAAACTATACTTGTCATTTTAATCAACTCAGGCTCATTCATGACTCCATCAGTCCTCCACTAATGGGAACAGATTGTTTCTACATTCATGAAGAACATCAGGAAATGTCCATGTCTGTCTATAAGCATGAATAGACAGATATTTATTCTCATAAAGAAGAGTTCTTAAATATGTGAGGAATCCACATGAGGGTAATACCAGTACATCTCTTATGATACGAGAGAAAGTCACTCCTGACAAATTAAAAAGAAGGGAGGAACTAGCTCACCAAGGCTCCTTGGTTGTCTGGGGCCTCCATTGGCTGCCGAAGTGCCATCCTCCTCATCTGACACAAAGCAATGAACACATACAGCATCTGAATTATATTTTGCCAACTGAATTCTACACAGTTTAGGATAATGCATGATTAATTGTGGGTTTGTAAAAGTGAGTATGTAAAAGAAGAAAGAAATTTTTTTTTAAAAGAGAGAGAATGTAAGGGTAGTTGATGTCATGTTTTGGTCACACTAATAATTTTCATAAATTAACATTTGTAAGTGTGCATTTCTGAGATCATGTAGACATTCAGCTTAATGATTTTATTACTGCTGATGTTAATTTGTCACAATTTGTGTTAAAAATTTGGAATTTATTATTGCATTGTCATATTTGTTTGCATTGTATCATTTTGTACTTTAAAAAAAATGTTCTGCCATTTAAATAGAATCTGACATAAATGATAACGTTAAGATTTGAGAAAACAAGCATGTTCACGTAAATCTGCATACTGAGTTCATTGTTAGTGTTCTCTGCACCACTTGGCTTATTTCATTCTGCTATTGTTTAGTCAAAACAGAACATATATTTGTTTACCGTCATCTGCAGAAAAAAAGTTTTTCTTAACAGCATCCAAATTTCTGAATAACTACATGATATGAATGTTATGTAAGCATAACTTCGTACAATGTAGTATATGAGAAGAGCAATATACACAGAAAAACAGTGATCTCACCAGCAGTATGGGGAGAAGTACTATTATTGCTTCACCAAACTCAACAGTTTGGCTTTATGTGTCAGAATAAAAAATGTTTCTTGGCACGCTTATACACCATCTATATTAAAATCCCTAGTTCTATTGTATTCAAGATATATACACTGGTTTCTGCACATACAGCAATAGTAATATTAGAAAACACTTGTTATTACCTACGGAGTCAGTAAGCAACAGCAGCTGTAGGTCCTCAATAGAGGAAATGGGACTTTTTCTAACCAGCTCCAACAGGGCTGCAGGCAGAGCGTCCCCCTGAAACATACATATATGTTTAGATTAATATAACAGACCAGAGAAACAAGATACATTACTCTCGCTATTTTTGATTATGGTCATAGGAAAAGAGGAAAAGAAAATGACATGCAAGCATCTTGACCTGGATTTTTTCAGTAGTGCCCATGACCATAACAACGACTAGTTGAGATTTTCCCACCTGACAGCCACTACAGCAGAGTTTCTACAACATTTCACAATGCAAGAAAATAACACCTATGTACTTCCACAACAAGAACGTCACAAGTGTTTGTGTGCAGTTTGACTGCACCATAATTAATAGTCAAACTAGCCGAAGCTAATTTTTTGTGTCTTTTTTTTTTTGTCTTTTTAGGATAGTCAAGAGAGAGACAGGAAAGTGGGGGAGAAGAATGGGGGAAGGAATTGCAGCAAAGGGCCATGAGCAGGATTCGAACCCATGACCGATGCGTTGGAGACTGTAGCCCCTGTACATGGATCGCCAGCTCAACCAGTTGAGTTATAACGACGGCCAATAATCACATTAATGGAAATTAATTTCTTTACTCTCAAACTCCAAAAAATATATACACCAGTTTCTTGGGTTGTGGTTTGTTTCCATAAGTGATCCCATTAGATACTTAAGTTACACTGAATCAAGACTGGTATATATAAAGAGTTCATTTGCAAAAAAAGATAACTCCATCTTCAAAAAACCTTCAGAAAACCCAATTTTCCATCGTCTACCTAAGACAATATCAATCAAACTTCAGCTATCTCTATTTTTGTCATGTCATTTCTACTGAGTAAAATCCACTCAACTTCAGTTTAATTGATACTATCTCAAGCAAACAGCAAAAAAATACGTTTTCTGAAAATCACAAAAATGGAATTATCTGTTTTTGCAAATGAACTTTTCATATTCTGTCATGATTACTGTTTTGATAGTTTTTTGTTTTTCTTTGCTCCTTTCCCTTCCTCCTTCTTTTTGTTCACAATCATTCCCATTCAGCTGAGGGCATGGCTTGGCTCACTACAGCTGGCTGATTAAGTGCAACTTCCAATCATCTCATTTTATGAAGACTTCCATAAAACCCTGGCTCTCCAGTGCCAGATTTTTCTGTGACTATGGTACACTCACAGCGACTCTCTGGCCACCACCAGTGAAACAGGCTGAGTATTTATCTCTAGAACTCTCATTTGTAACTCCATTGATCACTTATCTTTTTGTGTGCAGATCCTACCCTCTGCCTTATCACCAGCTGCTAATTCCACTCATCTGTTTAATTAATAAATACACCTTTTATATCAGTACATCAGTGTTCTGCTTCTGGGTTCTTAACCTTAACCCCACATATTCATGTATAAATCATCAGTTCCTCTCATACTGTTTTCTGTTCTCAAATGTCTTCGCTCCCAAAAAGACTGACTGAACTGGTAAGCACAATTCCCCTACATTGCTAGTCTAACTACCCTTTATTTTAATGGGATTTGTTTATAAAATATATATATATTTCTGACAAGATTGGCCACATGATGCATTTGACTAACTATTACCATGGCATCAAACCAAAAACTCACTGATTGTGACGGTGCAGATTGACAGCGTGTTTAAGCTCCCTCGTCACTGGATGATAAAAGCAAAATCAGACACACAGGGGTCACTAGGAGCAGGGTGAATGACTATCAGCAGTGTACCTTCTCATCTGTGAACATTTAAGGGTCAAAGGAGCAAGGAGGGAGTCAGGAAGTGGGGGAAGGAGTGATAAAGAGAGGAAGAGGGATGTGAGGTACATCTGGAAAAAGGGGGTATGTCAGACAAATAAAAAGGGTTAAAATGGACAAGGATCACAAATGGGTTGAGGCACTTTCTTATGTTGATTTTAATGCTGTGGAAGAAGTTCACTTACTTTGACATCTAATGGGGAGATGGAGCCAATGAAAATGAACAATGAGGGCCAAATGTATTCTGACTTGTAAAGCACTTAACTAAATGTCGGGAAACTTTTTTTTTTTTTTTTTTTTTTAATCTAGTAATTATAACTGTGTGTATGATTCTGTTCAGGTTCAGAAGAGTATAATGTATTACAATGGCAAGCAGGTTATAGCCAAAGAAAGCAGTTATGTACTCTAATTCTGCCCATACTGTTTGCCACTCGCATTTTCACATTGTTGTTTTGCTTCTCAAGAATTTAAATCATACTGCATGGAAATGCTTGCTGTATTCCACTTGCATCTCTGCTGCACAGCTGTCAATGCCCCTGAGGAGTTATCATTGTTATTTCCTCCCTTTGCTGATGGAGCAAGTCTTCCTCCTTGGCGAACTGTGTAGGATAATAAGTATAGAATGTGCATCTTTGTTCATAGGTGTGCCCGTTGTCATGACAATTTGTATCTAAGCAGGAAATAATAAATAAACACTTCAGTTCTGATAAACAAAACAGATGTGAACAAATGCAAACTGGACAGACAGAACATGTAAACAATTGATTAATTGCTAATATCTGATGTGCAGCTATGGGACGCTGATGACTTTACATTTAACGTCAAGATAACAAAACAGCTGTTTATTTCATATGGCCTGTAATTAGGTATGCAAGAGCGTAAAAGAGAATATCAGTGAGCCTAATGTCATTTTAATAGTTACAGTAATGTCTTGTTTATTTTGAAAAGAGCATATAAACTACCCATGAACAAAAAATGCATAAATTTACGTAAATGTATTTATCTTTTTTTTTTTTTTTTCTAAATTTGTGTCTAATATCATTTGTCCAAAAAGAGGCTGAGTAAATTGTCTCAACCTCCAGCTGCATCTGGAGTAGTTAGCCTGTTTCAAATAATTTGCCACTGCTGAGGAAGCAGATGTTTCTAAACAGCTTTTAGACTTGACTAACGTGAACCTACCGCAAGACAAAAGATTTTCTTCAATACAGCTTCCAACAAATTGTGTTTTCTAACTGAACTGCTGTCTGAACATTAACCTCCCTCCTAAAGGTGCCTGCTATACTTTTTGCAATTTTACTAATTTCAACATACTCTGACACTTATCACCTGTAACAAATTCCCATACCCTTGTCAACTGTCCATATTGAGTAATGTCAGATACAGGCAGCAGCTGCAGTGGGCAGGAAAGGATAGAGACCAGCTATTTGTACATAAATAAAGGTCGAGTCAGCATTACCAGCCTTGTACATGTTTTTTGTCAAATTCAAAAAACATGTTCTTACAGTCTACTGGCTTTCCAAAATGTATGTGTGCAGAGCCCTGGCTTTGTAAATGGGAAACAACGTGGCTTGGAAAAATAAACAATACTATTCATGCATCACCAATGTAGGTTTGTGCTCATGCACATTAATGCTAAGGAACAGGACAGCGAGAAAGCAAAGGGGAGCAAAAATGAGGCAATGGGGCCAGTGGATGCTGACTAGCCAAATATCAGGAGTCATTCTCCAGAATAACAGACTTCACCTTTAAGGTTAAGATTTTGCTGCAAGCACAGCAGCAGTCACAGCAGAGTAAGGTTTCACAAGTAGTCTCCGAAGTATACCCACAAGTGTGCAAAACAATGATGTGCAAAAATGTTTTAGTTATTTACACTGTCATAACTGAGCTCTGAGTTTGTTGAGGCACCTGATGCACCTATGGATGATATGGATGACTGTAACTTTATGTTAGCTGAAACTAAATGTCTACATCCCTCTTTGATGTTACCTAGCCTAATGTACATGATCATTGCCGTATACGCACTTCATATACGAGCAAACTCAAGACTAAATGATTCCCTTAGGATGATGTTCTAAACCTACAGTCAATTTAAACCTACAGTCTCTCAGATTACCAAGCTGCCACACTAAAATGTTAAAATCAGACATGGGAAATTCCTATATGTATACCTCAAACCCTTTGCAATTTTTTGCCCTCCTAAAGACTTTGCATGCTAAATGCAGTTTTCTTTAATATGTAGTGCCTATAGAAGATATAAAATGAAAAGACAGCTTGATGACAGGAGTTTAAAGTCACCATATGCTTGGCTCAAATCTACCTTTATGTGAGGCAGCCATAATGATGGTACACTACACACAGTTCCATTTATATCACCACCTTTAACATGTTATGATAAAGGATCCTACCTTTACATTCAGTATTGCTTAAAAGTTCACCACTTAATTTCATATCAAACAAGTGCGTAAGTTATTAGTCCTGGGAGCAAGCCATATGGCAAGATCAGATGAAGATATGAAAGAAAACCAAAATAGTTGTGCCTTCTTTTTGACTTGTGTAAAAAATTATTTCCCATGACTGACTCGTTATCTAACCCTATTTAGTTTAACCCCATTTAGTTTGACAAGTGACTGACATGAATTGCCTCAGTAAGGAATAAATTAAATCTGTATAAAATATGAAAAACTGATTTTAAAACATTATCAGATTCATATTAGCAAAAGAGGGCTGCAAGGTGGCTCGGTGGTTAGCACCGTTACCTTGCAGCAAGAAGGTTCACGTCCCAGTGAGGACACCTGGAATCTTTCTGCGTGAAGTTTCTCCCCGTGCAGCATGGGTTCAGTCTGGGTTCTCCAGCTTCCTCCCACACACTCTAAAAACATGTTGAGGTTAATTGGTGATTGTAAATTGTGTGCTTGGTTGTCTGTCTCTAAGCGTAGCCCTAAGTCAGCTGGGATAGGTTCCAGCCCCCCCACCCCATGACCCTAGTGAGGATTAAGCGGTGTATAGATGATGGATGGATAGCAGCAGAAGAGGACAGAATTTGTAAAAGAAGCATTTCTTGGTTGCTCACTTGACTTAGACAATATCTTTGTTTAAGTTTATTCTTCCTGTTTGACTGCAGCAGATGAACTTTATCGAGCTTAATGCATTTTCTTTACAGATTTTATTTATAATATTTAAAGCAACAAAGGAGAAGTCAACTGGTGCTGAAGCAGCAGTAGATTTCACTTTTACAGATAAATATCATTAAAGCAGAGGCACTGCAACTGTAGTCTCAATAGCATAATGTTCTACAATTCTACAATTTCCTTTAGCAGCTGCTTTTATCCAAAGCAACGTACATCTGAGAGTGGATACAACACAGTAATGCAAAATAGTCATCACTGACTGATCGACGGCTACACTCAACATGCGGAACAGCAGCTACAAATGCATAGCTTAACCATGAGAACCATCCAGCTGTGAAAGAGCCTGTCATGGCAGCACGTGATTCCTGGCACATCACCCATTCTAAACATCAGTTAATTGGCTCTAGGATCCCACTTCTTCACATGGAAGCCAAAGGGGAAATACTTGCTTTTCATAAGAAGAGACTGAAGCAGGTGTACAAATGCCAGTGTTGAAAAGAAATTTTTTGACTTGATTTGATTTTTTTTACATAGTAAATTATTCTTACAAAAAAATCTGCCACTATATTATTAAAGGATATGAACAGTGCAATTTGATATTAAGCTATTAAGCTTATAAGCTTAATATAAACTAATATAAATATTAGCTTACTGATACTGCGTTTCACATCCTACCTGTGCTCCTGCAAAACTATCCAATAAAACATTATTGGGGCTTCATGTTCTGATGTTTTCTTTGTATAGTTTATATTGTAAGTTTATAGGACTACAAATAACTGTCGTGATAAAGTATGTCTAAAAGTTTTCCGGAGTGATGCTAACTCACCTCGGCTATGCCAAACCGCAGACAGGCTGCCAGCAGCGCGAGCAGCAGCTGCACCCACGAGCTCATCTTGCTGCCCAGCGTCGAGCCTCCTGCACGGAGCGGGCATTCATGGACGCGACAGAGAGCCTTTCTCTTCAGCACTGCCGCCAAGGGACAACGGGCAGCCCTGTGGAACTGGTCTGTCCACGCTGTTGTTCACCTCATATAAAGACTAAAAGTCCAGGAGATTCAGAATGTATGCTGAGTAACGTTTATTTTATTCCAAGCGTGTCCCAGTTTAATTAAAAACAGACTATTTTAAAAATCCATCTGACTTGTATTTTCCCGCAGTCATGAGTCTGTCCTTCTTTAGTCGTGATGCTTCCCAAAATTCCACCTCATGTACTGAGCGTCTGAAACCCCGTCGCAGGTCACGACCAGTAGTCTGTGGTCCTTCTTCTACGGAGTCTTATCAACGAGCAGAGCGCTGTGTGGCTTGGTGCACCTCAGCCCTGGACCTGCTTGATTACACAGCGACAGTGGCTGTGATGGTAGGAGGGGAAGAGCACATTTCTAAGAGTCTGCATGTTGGTCTTTTTGACAATATCTCTCTCCCGCCCCCTGCCTGAAGAATGGGCGATAGGCTAATCTGCGCACAAAGAAGGGACCTTAGTTCACAAACGGCCGCCTCTCAACAGCCACTCTAACATTTCCCCTGTCATTAATCATTTAAGCAGATCTTTGGGCAATGTTTTTTAGGTTTTGCTTCTTTTTCGTTTCTTTTCCCTTTTTTCTGTTCTACTCTTGTCTTGTGTTTGTCTATTGATCTGAATTTTGTGTTTGTAACCTTAAGTTTGTGTGCATGCTTGTACTGCGCCTCAGTGTTTCTCTATTTCTGCGGGGAAATGTACTATTATATTTCACTAAACTAAATACTCTTCAGATTAACATTTTATGGCCTATGCTAGACATGTGATCAAGCTATCAAAAATATAGTGATGCTGTAGGTTAATCTACTCAGCAGTATATATATCTCAAATAAGCCCCTTTGCAAACTAGAAATGTAAAAAATTACATTGAGTAGCCTGTTCTTAATATTTTGAGTCTGCCTTATATACACTTGTAATTGAGTGCTATTACATTAAAAAAATATTATTACTATTTTTTTTTTACTATTATTGCTGAAATGAAGGATCACAATTTTCCTTTGCCACTGTTTATGAGTGCACAACATACCTATATTATGTTATTACTTTACAGTTTTAGCAGTTATCCCTTAAGGACAAATTAAGTTAATAATTTTAGTGTTTCAGTGTACTATTTAAAATAATCCATGACAATGCACGGAGAGGTCACAGGAATAGTTTCCATGCCAACTGATTCCCCTTGTTACCTCAGCATCACCACTAGCTAGGCTATCAGAAGACAAAAGGTGTTTCTAAATATCACAGAGGTTATTCTTAGAATAGTGACCTTTGGTGGTCACTCATGTTTAAGGAGCATTTTTGAACAATGCAGTGACTCTGCATGCTCAAATGACGCAGGTCCAATAAAGTATATCAACTGTAAGAACTTCTGACTTAATATGCTGTAGAGAGAGAGAGAGACAGAGAGAGAGAGACAGAGAGAGAGACAGAGAGAGAGAGACAGAGAGAGAGAGAGACAGAGAGAGAGAGACAGAGAGAGAGACAGAGAGAGACAGAGAGAGAGAGAGACAGAGAGAGAGAGAGAGACAGAGTTAGAGAAAGAGACAGAGTTAGAGACAGAGAGAGAGAGAGACAGAGTTAGAGACAGAGAGAGAGAGACTTTGTGCTTCGGGCGCTTGTGGCTCAGGTGGTAGAGTGGTTGTCCTCTGATTGGCCTACCCCAGCCCTCCACAGTCAAACTGTCCTTGGGCAGCACCCTGAACCTGAAGTTGCTCCTGATGGCAGGCAAGCACCTTGGATGACAGCTCTGTCATCACTTGTGTATGAATGTGTGTGTGAATGGGTGAATGAGAAAACATGGTAAAGCGTTTTGAGTACCACCAAGGCAGAAAGGTGCTAAATAAGTGCAGACCATTTACCATCTTCGAAAAGTTAAACTATTATATAAGCAAGTAAATCAATCATGCATGTGTGTACACATAAACTCAATGAAATTGTATATGAAGAGCACTGACACATGTTAAAACATTGTTATGTAGAACAGATCACACCCCCTCAAATATTGATTCTCTCTTGCACTCTCTCTGTCTCTCTGTCTCTCTGTCTCTCTCTCACTCACTCACTCACTCACTCACTCACTCTCACACACACACACACACACAAACACACACACACACACACACACAAATTCACACACATGCTCAACGGTCCTTAGCTGGCCACCATTTTTACCAAGAAGAGAGGACAGAGGGTCTTCTGTGACAGCTGAGTAAGAAATGACAGCACTTGCTCAAATATTTAAGAGCTTGTCAGAAGGTTCAGAAAAGGTCACAGCATCCTGAACTAATCTTCTGTTGAACAATGATGGCATTTGATTTCACGCATTTTTGTCAGTTGTTAGCTAGAGAGCTTCAGTGGATATTTTGATGTAGTAATCGCATGTATTTGTGTGTATGACCATGTATAATGGTGGCTATGTGTGAGTTGCGCAGAAGGGAACTTTCATCTGCAATCCCTTGCATCAAAGTCTAGAGGAGAGACAACCAACTCTGGATTAGTTGCAAGCATAGACTGTCTTCAGTGTATGTTTCTAAGACAGTAGAGGATCATTTACACCAAATTTACTGATAGGAATCATAAGTTAGCCCATCAAGTATGGCAACTCACAGTTTTCTCAAGTCCTGAAGCACGAATGTGGCTGAAATAGATTGAAAGATAAAGCAGGGGTAGATGTAGGTGCAGAGGCCATCCATCCATTATCTATACACCACTTTTTCCCTGTAAGGTCACCTATTCCAGCTGACTAAGGGTGAAGGCAGGATACACCTGGACAGGTTGGCAGCATATCGCAAGGGTTACAGAGACCAGTTCATTCATACTAAGCAAAGGCATAAGCTACGGGACACTTGCCACCCTTTCGTTGGAGTATTTTTGCCTTTAGCAAGGGTTACTCATGTGGTGACTCGTATTTACAGCAAAACAAATTAAGCAAAACAGACTGTTATAAGGTCAATAAAAATTTGGTGAACTTCCAGTAACTGAAGTTCTCAGATAATGTGAAATGCTTCAGTTCATGACTAGTGATGGCCAGATGAATCCTCATGAAGCGTTGAAGCTTTCTATGCAACTGGTTCAAAAAAAGGTTAATTTGTCGAGATTTCATGTGCACACAAACCCCCCTGCTGATCAAAAAAATTTCATTTCAACTATCAGAATCTCAATCATTTTTATTGTCATTATGCGTACGCTTCCATACACACAACAAAATTACAGTCGGAAGTCTCGGTGTTCAGCAAAAAGAAAAATGGCATAAATAAATAAATAATAAACTATTTGTGATGGCCTCTTCACTGTCTTGCAACAGTGTCAGCATGGGAAAAATCAGTGCCAAGAATCGAAATAAAAATGCCTTAATGTGATTTTGTGTGGTTGGTTCATTCATTCATTTAATCTGTTTTGATTAATGTGTGGGTAATAGAGGTCTGTTAATGTCAACAAAACTTGCCAGTATGATTTCAGTCAATGTTTAAATATATCCAAAAGGGCATGACATGTTTATGTTAAAACTGCTACAATGTTTTTAAAAGATGGGACAGCGATTGTGCTTATGAATACTGGGCTGATAGTGACTTTATTCATTTTTATTAAGAAACTATATTTGTTCCACGACGCTTGGACACAGTCAGTTTCATTTTTTGGAAATAGCTTCTCTGGCTTTGGACAAAACTCTTTCACATGTGAATGTTATAGCAGCAAGACATTTCATTATTTGCAGGTTTATTATTGGGAGATATCAGCTCAAAGTGTTGCCATACAGGGGAAACCCTTCTCCCTTTAGGCTCCATGAAAATTAGTTTCTCTATGTCACAGGCAAATTGGCAAAACTCCAACATAAACACTAATACACAAACTTTGTGGCGATTCACTGCACTTTATGTTCACAAATCATGCCAACACACAAACCACTTCCTAAACCAGGGAGACTTCATACGTCATCAGTGACGTCGCCCGCCTCCTAACGAAGCAAGCCTCGATACACGCTTCATAAAGGACTTCCTGGAGTTCTTGACACACGCTCCGAAGCCTCGGCACAGTACGTCCCATCACTACCCATGACCTCTGCATCACAGGACTGTAGCCCCTATACATGAGACGCCAGCTCAACAACCAGGTGAGCTATAGCAGCGCCTCATGAATTACATCAAACTTAAGATAAGCTAGAACTTAGGAAAAATACATTTTTGTGTCAGATATTACTCAAAAAATCTCAAAAAACAACAAATAAACAATAAAGAAAGTTGTGAACAAAAGTTTACATACACTTGTAAAGACAATGCCTCTCATGGCCGTCTTAAGTTTCCAGTTCTCCTAAAACTCAGAATTTTCCATTATGAAATGAAAATGAAATGAAAATGAATGAAATGAAAATGAAAAATACTTTATTCATCCCAGAAGGGAAATTCAATCCTGTAAAAGC